AAGCGATGGGCATTTTTAACATCAGACACCCACTAAAGAAAATGCGGAAAACCCATCACACCAGCTACCCTGTTGCGTGCTGCTACTTGTTGGAATTAGCGATATTTTGCAGCACACCAAATATGCCTGATATCGTGGTAATGCTCTTATAATCGTTTGATAATTTTTTTGCCTTAGCTTTAAATAAATAATTGACCAGCGCACCGACAGCTGGTACGAGGGATGCATTTCTTGCACAGTTCTCCGCTGGTTTTTGTTGCTAACGACACCGGTTTTTGCTGCAGATGTTTCTAGTCAAACGAATTAAGACTGGCCGCCAGGACTGTTAGGAAACACTTCCTTAAAATTTCAGTTTTCTAGTTTTCCTGGTTCTCAAGTTAAAAACTCACCCGTAAAAAGATTCACGGGCTCGTACATAGGAACCATGCACACCTGGGGGGTAGTTTTGAGCTCATTAACACCTACTTGGACGGGGAACACTTCCTTAAAATTACAGTCTTCTAGCTTTCCAAGTTTTCGAGTTGACAACTTACCCGTAAAAAACCTTCAGGGGCCTGCACGTGGGTAACACGCGTACCCGGTCTTTGGGTTTGAGCTCATTAATACGTGCATGGGCGGGAAACATATTCTCAAAATTACAGTCTGTTAGCTTTTTAGGTTCCCGAGTTAGCGTCTTGCCTGTAAAAAACTTCACGGGCTTGTGCGTGGGAACCACGCATACCCGGGGGCTGGATATGAGCTAATTAATACCTACTTGGATGGGGAACATCCCCTTAAAATTTCAGTCTTTTAGCTTCTCAGGTTCCCGAGTTATTAACTTAACTGAAAAAACCTTCACGGCTCCGTACGCGGGTACAAAAACGAGAACCGGATTAAAGAAATTGTTGCATTCTCTGTTACGCCCCTAAAAATACTTACAGGGAAGATGCGGTATATTTTCGAGAGGTTTAAACTTCTTGTATTTTTTGTGGCGAAGGATTGTGCATTTATTCTTCCATTTTCTATAAAAAGAAAATGAAAAACGAGAAAACCACCACACCTGCTTGAATAAGTGTAGCGGTAAAGTAACACTAAAGTGCGTTCCGTCTTGCACATCGATCTGGTTTTTGTTTATTCAGTAGTAAAGGGCTCTGGAACGAGCATGGACAACATGTGTTCATGATGGTCTTAAATTGGTTCAGATTTTGAGGAAAGCTTTTAAATAGCTGCTGCTTGCAAATTCACTCAAATCTCCATAGCAACAGCGAAAACATGCAAGCATGCACGTTCTGGCCATTGTCGATCACTGCCGTGTTGCTAGGTTGATTATTTCGTAAAGTCGTCACAGCTTAGACATCGTCTAATAATTTTTCCAGGTTCTGCTTGTTCTCAACAACAGTGACGCTAGCTGCATGAGTGAGCTGAGAGACTGAACAATGAAATGAGAGGAAGAAAGTTTGAGAATAAGTGCACTGAAAAGCTGATGCATGCTGCGCAATGGGCATGCTTAAGGGCTAGAATTCGCCGGTTTTGTTGCAATTATTTTGCATGCAGTGCAAAACATGAAACACAATGAGGCCATTGTTTTTGTTGGGCGTATATATGCTTCCCGAACTCTTCATGTGCAAACCCCATTTTATAACTTAATTAGAAACATGAATGCTTGGCTTTCTTTGGCAACCATTTGCGGTAATAATAAATCAAAAAAATGAAAGTTGAACTGCAGTTAGAGTATAATTTTAAAAATATCTAGATCAACCTTCTGAATACGAATTGTGATGTGTTCTGCATCTTAATTTCGAAGTTTTTGTGCATTTTTATCTAAAACAATCGCAGTACTGGAAGAGTATGTCTTCAAGTTGACATGTACCAACAAGCCGCAAGTACTCGAAGAGTGGCAGTCCGAAGAGAAATCGCGGAGACACATGCATTATTGTAAATCCGGAATTAACCTTCTAATCTTTTCTGTATTTTAAGATCTTCATCAGGTCTACCGTACAATTAATACCTGCACTGCTTTAATTTGTGCCAACAGGGAGAGGGATGGGAAGAGGGGGTGGGGGGGG